TTTTTTCTTTTTCTGTTTTTTTTTCAGATTTTTCATTTTCATTTTTTTTAAAATTCAACGCCTCTTTGCAGATGGTCCTCCTGTTGATATTCTGCTTTTCCTGTGCGGTGGCGAGCACAACGACAGTCTGTCCCCATCCATTCATACCCGCAAATGGTCACGTCGTCTTCGACGCTCCGGCTCCCTATTTTCTAAATACCGTTGCTAAATACAGGTACGTTTAGATGACATTTTCTTCTTCGCTAAACGGAATCAGCCCACTTATTTCTTTCATTGGACTTTGATTCTAGGCCATCCACCACTTCTCAGAAGCCCTTAGAATTCTAGCCACCATTAAGGAATCCTTCGCGAAAATTCTTGCATTCTTTCTCAACATGAATGTATCAGTTGTGATCACTAGATGCAATACACAAAGTTTCACGCATGAAGGTTCGGTTTCCGAAGAGAAACAAACTCACGAAAATCCATTCTATGGACAATCGAAGGTAATTCGGGCGGAGCCAAAGGCGGGGCATGGAAGAAGTCCGCTTGGGGCGGCTACGTATCAGGCGACGCAATGAAAGAATCGGGTTAAAGCGTGCGATTTTGGAGAGTAGAGACAAATCGATCGATAGAATAGGATGGAGTAGAAGTGTGAGATGTGAATGCAATAAGCAAAAGGCCAGAAAGAGTTTCTAGTGAAGGCACTCCAAGAACCAAGTGGAAGCATCCCCGTCGCCAGCATTTGTGAAAGACGTCCGTGGGCACTTTGAACGCGTAGCAGCCCTTTCGATTTTTCGAATTTTTTACCAAAACAAAGCAATATTTCTGTTCTTTTCATTCTTATCGTGGATAATGAGTCTCAAGCCAGTGATTTATGGCTGAAATAGAATCATGATTTTTCCGTGAAGGATTCCTTTAAGACTTGACTAGTGCGCGCCTTATTCTTCGAAGGACGTGGACCGGGTGTGACTTCGTGTGGGTGATCGCCGAGATTCGATGTCGGATCATACCGTGACTTGCCGAATGCGATCTGGTATCCGAACGATATCGACAATGTATCTGGCCGGATCTTAAAAGGCATCCTTTCTTGATTAAAATTTATTACACGCTGAACGTACAGGCGAGGTTAACGCATGAACGCTGCTGGTTTTCATCGTCCTCCTCATTGATGGATTTATTCGCCTGATAAGACGACGAGGAGCTTGAGGCACTAAATAGGCTGTTCCGCCCATGTGTAATCAGTGTTGCACGCGCTCTTATGGATTCTCAGCAATTTCTTAGCTCTCTTTACTTATGGCTGCTCAATTACGATACCATTCGGATGAGATTGCCCTACATCTAAGCAACCATGGAATGTACCTTAAGTGTGAGCAGAACCCAGTCGTAAAAACGCTGATTGAAGGGCTTTATTGAAATTACTTGCCCGAATCTCTCGATAATTAAATGCTCAACGTATCATCTCACGGCTATCTTCAGAATAAATACCCGAGAGTCATCTCGCTGCTTCATCATCTCCATTCCGGTTTACCACTACGAATTGTCGAATGTGTTACAGAAGAAACTGCGGGCAGAAAGCACTTCGGTCATGGTTACAAGGCTTCTGTCAACCAAGGGTGAGAGCGTAGCTGGAAAAGCACACACTTTGTGTCTTATTGGGACTAAGCCTTTTGAAGGAGATAAAGAAAGAGGAGATGCTGTGATAGTGTGCACTTGTGAGAGCTCCCAGACATCACTACAAAACGCTGAACCGCCAAGCCTCACGGTTGACAGATGTCCTGAGACCTTGGTCACGCCTCCTTTATCAACGTGGACCATACCTTCGAAAATGGTTGAGAACGGTGTGGTCGATGAAGTTGAAGGGATTCTAAGTGCCGATTCGCTGTTTCTCTTGACACTTGAACTTCGTTTACCATTTGGAAACTCGGTGTGACCTAGTAATAGAACTGGAGAAAGTTCATTCTCAAACTAAAAAGTTAGTATGTCACGCCGAGTTTCGTGTAAGGAAGACAGTGTTCAGCATGGAAACGACAATGAGAAGCGCTGCATCGTAGATACGGGTTGCAAAGCTGATTCAGGCAGCGTTAGACAACCGCCCGTGCGGTCTACTACAAACATACAAACCGTATAAACATAAGGAAGCGGAGTACTTCCCCAACGTCGCAAAATGATGAGAGTGCCCCTAACTTCTGAAAACTTCTAGCATTGATCGCTTAAACATATTGTTCACAAAAGCACAAAAAATGAGTGCGATTTCCAGTTGCGCTCCCGAATTCGAAAAAGTCGGCGGCACCGACGAGAGGATGTGCTCTTCTTCAGGCTCATGGAGCGGTGAAGCACCTGTGTGCCGCTATAGATGTGGCCGCTGGCAAACCCGCCTTTCAGGTACTTCACCCTATTCTTAAGTATCACTACACATTTTCACTTTTATTCATCCCCCCTCTCGGCTCGTACACCACAAACAATCAATTGAAAAAAAAAACTCAATTTTCAGTAAGCGTAGTTAGCTCATTACTCGATTTTCCGAGGAAATTGCCTCTCACAGCGACAATACGGCTGTCTTGGTGGTGAGTGGAGGAGTTCTGAATGGCGGAAGTTATTACGGTGGCGCATCCCAAAAAGGATTAGACATCACCGACAGCTCTATTATTTTCCTTCTATTTCAAGGGAGGTCGATCTGCTCAGTTCCTATTCCGTTCATGGTGTAGCAATCCGGCTTGGTAAACAGTCGTCACCCATACTCAACGTGTACCTCATCCAACAAAACGGTGACCTTCGTGTAAGTTCTCTATTTACCTATGGATTTCATTTTTTATTCAGTACGAACTTTATGGTGGTTACAAGTTCACTATTACTTACCTTATCTACATTTTCCTCAACATACATTTACTTGCTTACCTCTCATTACCGACCCTTCAAATGCTACTATTACATTTCTCTGAAGAATGCTCCTGCTTTCTGTCCGCTGAGTCATTAGGCTAGCTTTGGAGCCTCTCAATTTGAACATGCGCATACATAACGCTGAGTACCCCCCCCCCCCAGCCTAGCTGGATACGTTAGATACCAACGATGAACTTCAAACCTGACAATTGATTTTCTGGAGAGTTACGAAGCAAAATAGAGCAGCGGTAGTGGTCCACGCTCAAGGGTCCTGGGATCAATTCCTTGGCGGGTGACTTGGCCACAAATTTGCCTCTCTAGGGGTATTTTATCTCTGGAACACGAATATCACACCTGTCTTCTGCAAAACGTCTGTCTGTTCTATGAGCTCATGGTGCAGTCATTAGCAAGTAGCACCTAAATTTGTAAGGGCAAACTTGTTAAACTTAGCACCCAAACTTAAACTTTTCAAATAAATATAAACCAACTCACAGAATAATGTTCAATTTCGAATACACATCGTTATCGGAATAACAATAAATAAATTAGTTCAATTCAACTTGTTTTTCTTGTAAACATGATAACTTGTTGGGACTTCGTAAACTCTTCCTACGGATAACTATAGGCATATAGCGCATAGGTTGACCAGGTAGCGTGGTTAGGAGCCTTTTTTGACCGGTGATGCTGCAAAGGTAAGAGGGTGACCCCGTCAGAATCGATTCTCCACTCGCCCGCGAGCCCGGACCACTACCGCTGCTCTATTTTCCTTCATAACTCCGTTCGGAAAATCGTTTGGCAGATTTGGAAAGCAGATTCGAGATCAGCGTCCAAAAACACATCCACAGTGTAGGTTCTATTGCATATGGCCACTTCGACCCATCACCCTTTCCTGGCCAGCTCATTCAATCAATTTTCCAATTATAGCTGATGTGTGAATGCATGGCGTATCTTGGAGGTAGCTCAGTTACTTTTCAGTTATGTGACATTTCTGGTTACGCGTTCTTCGAAAACACTACTGTGTACGTGCATTGCGAACTTGCCGATGTGGAGAAGGTTCGGATTGTGGCCGAGAATCGACTTCACCTTTGTGAAGCACGCGTATACGCCACTAATGCCGGTGAGGATTTTTCGTTCAATCTTTTTTTATATTTTCTCCACATCGCAGAATATTTAAGGATTTTCGTCACACCCATTACATTTCAAAAATAATTTGTGTTTG